ACACATTATTATACTCAGTTTTTGATCATGATTCCGAATTTGATATTTTTTTTTAATAGAACTTGAGTTCTGATTGAGAAAACTGAGAATTTGTAAGTTTTTTGACACCAAAAATGACTTAAAACTTATTTTTCAGAGAAAAAAGTATAATTATTTATTTTTATGTTCTTATCTTAGTCGTTTGCGTCAATGTTCCAGAAATCTTCTTCATGTAAACGTATTTTTCGTATTTTTAATTCGTTCAATAATTCAACTAATTGCTGAATTAGCAATGGATAAAGGTTACTTTCCACATAATGTTTTTGAACGAATCGACGCTTGTAACGGAACAAATATCTATTACAATCCAGATGAAGTGAGTAAAGATAAATCAATTATTAGGGTACAGCTAAAATTGAACTTGTTGTTTAAAGCTAGTGGACTGCAAACTATTCACCATTTTCATGAATTATATCAATAGTAGTGCCGCACATTGGCTTGTATTTTGTGAAGCACTCTATTTATTTCGATTATTACGAGCAAAAGCGTACAAAGATCGTGTTCGATGGTATATCATGGTCGGATGGTGTAAGCAACAGCACGATCAAATGAGTAGATATCAGTGTTTCCTATTTTTTATTGTTGTTTTTTCTAGTAGCACCATTGGTGCTCACAGTCGTCACATACACAAGTCGTTATTTAACAAAAACAGATTTCGACTCGTGAGTTGTTTTACTTTTATCTTTAAAATTGTACATCGCAGCAACTTATAATCATTCTGCATTTTATATCAGAGACCAGAGTCGTAAATAGGAGGTCAACTTTTCGGGGAGGGGAGCACAGTAGGCATTTTTCTATAGAGCAGGCGGGCATGTAATCTCCGAATGTCTGACTCAGAATATGATTATTTTGCACAAAGTTGCTCTATTACAACTCAGATATCGATATAAATCATACAGTAAAAATTTCGAAAAAAAAGTTTTTTCGACAGAAATTCCCTGAGGGGTTACTCGAAATTTTTGTCGAAAATCTTTTAATTCAGAAAATGAACAAGCTATACATCATTCGATGTAGTTTTATACGCTATAGAAACTTTTATTTTTTTATAGACTTTTATACGCTTTATATTCCAAATATCATATTATTTTCTTGTACAAAATGTTCCTAGACTGAGAGAAACGTATTTTACGTCAAAACCCAGGGTTTTTTGGAAAATTTGTAGGCGAAATTTGTCTAGGCGAATAGTTGCATAAAGTTGCATGCATCATAGATGCAGGACATATTGCGCAACATTTTGCACTAATTCTGGGTGAGATAACATTTTAGGAAAATTTAGGAACCTAATTACATTTGAAATGCCTGGTCGGAAACAGAGCCATCTCGCAAAAACACCATTTTCTGCTATGTCGTAGGTTTAAGAAGAGAACATCTTTTACAGATCGATAGCCAGGACTGTCTAGATCCAGAATATGTAAAATATTTTAAACTTTAAACGACTTCGTCTATTAGAAAAAACTGATTTTCTCAGAGGTCGCTAGTATTCAGGCTCTTTTTTGTTTATACATTTTTTCTAAAAATTCAACACTTGGAACAAAAATTTCTATACCATTAGATAGCCCGTATATCAAAGTATATATGGCACTATTTGATTCGACAAGTTTTTCTGGGAAGCATGTAAGAAAAAAAATTTTCATCGTGCGAGCAAAACAACGAAAAAAATTTTTAATTTTCCGTGGGAGGAAACGATAAATTTTTTTTTGGGAGGGAGTGTACACGTCTTCTCTCCAAATTTATGGCTCTGCCAGAGACTAATATCACAGTCTACTAGAACATAAATCATTTGTGTAACTATGCAAACGGTAGGTCCCATTTACTTGACCGTCTGTCTTATAATCTCAAATTTGTATGATAAACGAAGAAATCTTATAAATTCTGATGCTGTTATATAGATGTTCTTCATTTCTAAAGGTGTTGGTTTGAAGCATCGCAATTTGATTGGATTTTACATGGGCCAAATATCATTTTACAAATTGTAATTATATCTTTTTTGATTACTTGAAATTACAGACAGAAAACCTACATCTGACATTGTGACCGAAACCTGAGGTTTGAATTGAAAAGACTACGTTCAAAACATTCAATTTTTCAGCCACCAAACTGATTATATTCTTTTTATTATGAATTTTGTAATGTCTACATTCTTTCACACATGTATTGTCCCATTTTCTCACAAAATTAAACCAAAATACATCATCGTATTTGAGAGAAAGTCTTTTACTGTTACTTTTTGATTGATTTGACATTATTCTTTTCGTTGTATTTTCAATTCGCTGAAATTTATCATCAGAAATACCGTTTTCTCGATTGTCGAAGTCTTCCGTGTTATTATTTACATCATCATCGTTACTATTTTCATGATCAACATCAATATGATCCAATAGTTCTGCATAATCTAATAAAATATCATCAAATCTTGTATCTTTGATATTAATATTATTCAAAATTGGATGGATTTTAAACAATACTGTAG